ACTCACCTGTCTTTGAGAGTCATTGAAATAAGCTGGGACTGTGATCACAGCATTTTTTGCTGTATGCCCCAGGTAATTTTCTGAAAAAGAATCAAGGAATGAATCCAATCATGAGATTGTCAGATGACATAGGTAACAAAATTACTAATGTAACCTAACAACCTATACAATCTTTTTGGAGCCACAAACAGCACTCATCAGTTTTTCAGCATGCTAGAACCTAACATGTAGAGAACTTGTAGGAAAACACTCCATCTGAAAATAAAATTAGAAACCAAGACCTCACCTAACACTTCAGTGAAACTTCAACAACTAGAATGACTTAAAATAATTACTAGTTTCTTCAAATGGGAAGCCCTAAAGTTTTGCCTAACAGACAAAAGCTTGTGTATGATCCTTTGGCTTTCAAAATACTACTTCCCTACTGGAAAAAAGAAGAAAGCCACCATTTTTTGGAAGATGTATTCAATCTGCAGGGAATAGTATGAAAAAGGTTTTCTATATAAAAGCAATCAGACTCACCCATGGACAGTGGGGTATAAAAACTAGTGATTTCAGATAAATCACCCACTTCTTGATACTTTCCCAGATGTGAAGAACTAAACATCTCACCTGCAGTCTCTTTCATCTTCATCAACACAAATGCTCCAATCTGACTTGGAGAATAGAGTTTTCCATGAGCTTCAACCCAGGCATCACCATTGGAGGCACGGACAATTTTAAAGGGAACATTTTTACTGCAAGACACAATAAAAAACATGGCAGTGCAATTTACCATGAATGTCCACCCTCCCATCCCCAAAAATCCATGGTCAATGAGAACTTCAGAAATTAATTTAGTAAAAGCCTTTAGAACACATGTGTCAAACACAAGACCCGCGGGCCAAATCCGTCCCGCCAGGCCTTGCAATGTGGCCCACACCGCGCTGTCATCACTGCACTCCGCTGCGTTTCCATCACAACGACAGTTTATGACTGTTCAGTAAACCATTCGGCCCGCGATTTAGGATGGATTTTAGATTTTGGCCCCTTCTCTGATTGAGTTCGACACCCCTACTTTAGAAAGTAAACATTAACATATCAAAACACCCTGATGAAATCCAAACATTCTCTACTTCCCACCAAACAAAATACTAATGCAGCTGCTTTGGAAAATGATTATAGTTATCACTTATAGGACCCAGAAATTCCATTACGAAGTATCTAGCCAAGAGAAATGAAAACATGTGTTCACACAAAGATCTGTGGCAGCATTATTTGTAATACCGGTAGCTAAAAAGTGGCCTGGCTTGTGTGACCCATAAACCAAGAGGTCACCACTGGTTGGATTCCTGGTCAGGGCACATGCCTAGGTTGCAGACTCAATCCCCAGTCGTGCAAGAGGCAGCAGATCAATAATCTCTTTTTAAATATATTTTATTGATTTTTTTACAGAGAGGGAGAGAGATAGAGAGCTAGAAACATCGATGATAGAGAAACATCGACCAGCTGCCTCCTGCACACCCCCTATTGGGATGTGTCCACAACCAATGTACATGCCCTTGACCGGAATCGAACCTGGGACCTTTCAGTCTGCAGACGGACGCTCTATTCACTGAGCCAAACCGGTTTTGGCGATAATCTCTTTTTTAAAATTAAGAGGAAAAAAAGGGGAAAACAAACAATGTCCATTCACATAAGTGGCTAAATAAAATGTATATATCCAGACAATGGGATATTATCTGGCAATGTAAAGTAATGAAGTATTGATACAAGCCACAACACAAACCTTGAAAACATATCTGATCAGCACATTCTACTATCTGCCTTATGAATTTAACACCAATTTACATGGCCCAGGAATGACTAGCCAAATCTTCATGCACCACATCTACACACGGCAAAGACCTAATCTGTGGAGGCAAAAGTGAATTTTGTGAAGGAGATATCCTTTTGGCAGGTGAGGGTTTGCCCCCAGGGACACATGAAATTATGAATATGCTCAAGGGAACCTGCTAAAAGGTCCTTTTGTGTGGCCTTCGCAAATAACTATACTTTTGTAATTACTCACATGTCTTTCTGGACTTCAGAGTCATCATATCGCCGGCCAATAAGACGCTTGGTAGCATAGAATGTGTTGTTTGGGTTGGTGACAGCCTGTCGCTTGGCAGGCATGCCAACAAGTCGCTCACCATCTGCTGTAAAGGCTACAACTGAAGGGGTGGTTCTGGCACCTTCAGCATTCTCCAGCACCTAAAATGCCAAAAGCAAGACAGAGAATGAGGTTCCAGTGACCACACTATCTTTATTAATCATTTAAGACAAAACAGATGTCAACTCACAACATAAATGCTCAAGAATAGTGGATGCTGATATGGTAAGTACTTTCTACTAGAGATAGTGGATGTTCAAAGTATCTTTATTCCTTTATTTTGAAACAACAGAAAGAAAACCAGAACAAATATAAATCAGAGCTTTCATAGTTCATAGTCAATGTAAGGACCAGGTGACTTTTCTTTCTAGAAGAATGAAATCCATTTCTCAATTTTTTGGGTAATGGCTAAAAAGTTTCAGGCATATAAAAATTGCCAAGAAACAATTCAAGAATCTCAGGTGCTCTAAATATCAAGAACTGCCCTAACTGGTTTGGCTCAGTAGATAGAGCGTCGGCCTGTGGACTCAATCAAGGGTCCCAGGTTCGATTCTGGTCCATGGCATGTAACTTGGTTGTGGGCACATTCTCAGTAGAGTGTGTGCAAGAGGCAGCTGTTCAATGTTTCTCTCTCTCCAATGTTTCTAGCTCTCTATCCTCTCCCTGCCTCTCTGTAAAAAACAAAAAAACCAACAACAATAAAATATATTAAAAAAATATATATCAAGAACCTAGTGGCAATAGAGTCATAAAGCCCTAACCTGTTTGGCTCAGTGGATAGAATGTCGGCCTGTGGACTGAAAGGTCCCAGGTTCGATTCCAGTCAAGGGCATGTACCTTGGTTTCGGGCACATCCCCAGTAGGTGGTGTGCAGGAGGCAGCTGATTGATGTTTCTCTCTCATCAATGTTTCTAACTCTCTTTCCTTCCTCTCTGTAAAAAATCAATAAAATATATATATTTTTAAAAGTGTCATAAAAAAAAGGAAACTTCTGGAATAGTTATAATAATAGGAATCTCCTAAGATGCTTTATTTAAATTGTAGCCCATGTATTATGTGTTATGTGGAGCTCCACTTGGGATTGATAACAAAAACGGTCTTTAATTTATCTATAAGCCATCCCAATGGTAATTTAGTAGTCCAAGAGGACACACCTAAATACTTGGAAGTCAAATCCATCCAATTATCAGCACCATGCAATAATTGTGACCCAGAGTTTCAAATCATGCTCACCTTTGCTTGTTTACCTTCCATAACTGCCACACAGGAATTGGTAGTACCCAAATCAATACCGACAACTGCTCCCTTGATTGCTTCTGATCTGTAAAACATTTAAAACAATGCTATAGCTATCATTTTAATAGTGATTTCTAAAATAGATACAAGAATATATAGGAAGATATTAGATACTGTGGGAATAGTGGTACATTACATAATCTGAAAATAAACATAGATGTATCATTTTTTTTTCCTGAGCAGAATCATTAATCACAAAGTTAGAGACCACTGCTCTGGAGTTTAGAAGTTACACTTACGCATAATCCCGCTTTGAAACAATTCTAAAAGTCTCATGACTAAGGCCATTCCAACCATCCTAAAAAAGAAAAAAAAAAAAAAAAGAGACAATTACATCATCCATTATTACATATGAAAACTTGAACTTGTTCCAGTTATTCTTCTGCACGTCTCAAACTCTCATTCTACTTAACTGAGAGGCTACCATATATAACATATAATGAAATGATGAAGTATTTCATGTAAGAGGCATTGTGGTACGTTTAATAAAGCCCTACACATACGTGAGTATTGCATGTATAAGTTTATCTAGAAGCATTTACCCTAACCCTACTTTAAAGAGATAAGATTAGAAATCTTGTAGTCAACCTAGAAAAAATTTCTTTTTTTCAGGCATAGCCTCCAAACAGAATCAAAGAAAAGACCTTGATTACAACCTAATTTTAGGCTACTTCCAAGCATTTCTTTAACCCCAGTAAGACAATTCCAGATCCTCAACGATGTAGGCTTTTGATCGTAGGTGGCAACAAGCACCATGGCTTCCCCCCAATTTGTTTACATTTTTTGAAATAACAGAGGACAATCTTAACCCCAAAATTTGGGGGAACCAACTACACAAACATTCCTCAACAAAGGAACGGAAACTTGATTCTGGATTTATTAAGGTGTGCTCTTGCTTTATTTCATCTCTGCAACGGGGTCCTTGCACACACTGTGTCTTACAGAAGAGAACAGTCGTCTCCGACTCAAAGGTGAGACTACAAACCTGAAGAGCGGTTCCCTTCGAACTATTATAGAATTGCATCCCTCGCCCACAAGTTCAAACCTGTTTAATCAGCCACAAAACGGATTGTCAAGACCACTACCTACTACTTTGTGAAATAAGGCTCCACGCTGGTAAGGGGTGTGACTCAGCAGGGCTCGGGACACGGAGATAAAACCCTGAAATGGGCCTTGAATCTGCAGCGCCGAATACAGAAGGCCCGTTACCTTTCTTCCCACCTGATCTCTCCCAGAGGATCCTGACCCCGAAGGGCGCGTGGCCTGCGGCTCCAAGGCCCAAGACCGGGAGCCGAGAGGCCCTCGGGGAAGGCCTGGCAGTTTCTTACCTGGTGGCGGGCGACCGTGGGGCCCCGGGAGGCTGCAGCGCCGACGAGACGGGATGCCGCAGCTCGGCTGGCGCTTATCATGGCGGCTGAGCAGTGAGGGTAGGAGGCAGCGAACAGTCACTCGGACAGCCGAGATGTGCGCTGTGCTGCGCGGCGGTGGAAACGCTTCTGGAAACCTCCAACCACGTGGGATGGGGCGGGCGGGGGTTGGCCGCTGGAGCCTGGAGGCCCGCTCTTCCGCTGAGGCGCTGCCTGTAATGCCTGACCAGAGACTGCCTGACCGCCGCTGCCGGAGTAAGCGCGTACGGCCAATACGCTCCGCAGCATGATGGTTGAGAAAGTATGTCCTTCAGTTCTCGCTGTGGCAGGTTTGCGCTCAATGAGAGGCGAGGGGGTTGAGAGATATATGAAGGCAACAACTTTAGACAGCCCTGGTCCTCGGAGGCAGCAAAGACTCAAGGTCACACGGGATAAACTGCGAAACGATTACAGTCTCCTTGCGTCAGTTGCGTCAGAGGAGGGGCCTCTGGCGCCTGCGCAGCTGGCGCCCGGCTGAGCGCCTGGGGCGCATGTGCTCAGGGAGTGGCGGAAAACAGGGGTGGAGCGTAACTACAGCCCCCATTGGACGTCCCACCGAGCGTAGCCGGAGGCGAGCCTGGGCGCGTGCACTCTCCTTGCGCGTGGACGTTATTGCTGCTCCGCGCAGAGCGAGGGCGCCATCTTGTCCAGGGTCTTTTTTTCAGTGTAAACCTCAGGCTCGGAACTTTCCTTGCTCATTTTCTGGCTATCTATTGGTATATATATTTTAACCTTTATTTTTATTGTTGATACTATTCCACATGTTCCCAACTCCACCCAGCCCCCGCTCCTCCTTCCCTCAGGCCATCACATCACTGTTGTTTACCTATGGGTTATGCATATTCGTTTTTTGGCTAATCGCCTCATCTTCTTTAAAAGAGTCCCCCAGTCGGTTCGGCAGTAACGTGAAATGCATATCCACACCGCGGGCTGACCCTCACTGTGGTTACTCAGGGCCTCTCAAACCTTACGCTGGTTGCTAGGGGCAGACATGGGTTCTGTGATAAAGGGAAAAATTTATTGATTCAACAATATGTACCGATGTGACAGACACTAAGTGTACAGTGAAAACAAAATGTGAATTCACTTATCACAACTTGAGCTTAATTCTGCAAATGAAGTAATTTGTCCTTAAAGCTTTAAAGTCCTATTTCAAAAGAGAAAAAAGATACTCCACTATTAAGTGATCACTGTGTGAGGCGTAAAGGGAACTTCAGGGAAAGTTGGGGAAGAAGATAACTGGAATGTGCATTGTGAGGGGAATGGAAATGAGAAACAACAACAAAAACACACACATTGGTTCTAGATTAAGGTGACCAGACGTCCCGCTTTTGGCGGGACAGTCCTGCTTTTTAACAATTTGTTCCGCATCTCGGGGCGTTTTAAAAAAGTCCCGATTTGCCGAAGCTGGTTTGGCTCAGTGGTAGAGCGTTGGTCTGCGGACTGAAAGGTCCCAGGTTCGATTCTGGTCAAGGGCATGTATATTGGCTGAGGGCACATCCCCGGTGTGGGGTGTGCAAGAGGCGGCTGGTCGATGTTTCTCATCGACGTTTCTAACTCTCTCTCTCTCTCCCTTCCTCTCTGTAAAAAATCAATAAAATATATTAAAAAAACAAAACAAAACAAAAAAAAAACTCCCGATTTTACTGAAACAGGTTTGGCTCAGTGGATAAAGCATCGGTCTGCAGACTGAAAGGTCCCGGGTTCCATTCTGGGCAGGGGCATATACCTTGGTTGCAGGCACATCCGCAGTAGGGGGTGTGCAAGAGGCAGCTGATCGATGATTCTCTCTCATCGATGTTTCTAACTCTATCCCTTTCTCTTTCTCTCTGTAAAAAATCAATAAAATATATATTAAAAAAAAAAAAGTCCCGATTTTTAGGGAGAGTGGAAGAGAGGAAAGACAGAAACATGCATGTGAGAGAAATTCTTACACCAATTAGTTGCCTTCTGCACGAACCACTACCAGGGCAGGACCAGGGAGCCTGCAACCAAGTATGTGCTCTTGACTGGAATCCAGCCTGGGACCCTTTGGTCTGCAGGCTGATGCTCTACATCCATTGAGTCAAATCTACTAGAGCAGGCAAGTCATTTTTAATACCTCAAGGATTGGCAAATGTTGGCAAAGGACTGACAAATTCATCCATCTTTAAATGTTTCTTTCCATTTAAGTATATTTTTTCTTTCAAGCTCTATAACAATTACAGAGAGATCTAGTTTATGGGTAGCAGATAGCCATCATTTAAAAAAATATTTTATTGATTTTTTACAGATAGGAAGAGAGAGGGATAGAGAGTTAGAAACATCGATGAGAGAGAATCATCGACCAGCTGCCTCTTGCATACCCCCTACTGGGGATGCGACCGCAACCCAGGTACATGCCTTTGACCAGAATCGAACCTGGGACCCTTGATTGAGTTCACAGGCCAGACACACCCTGGAGCCAACTTCCCACAGTCCCTCCTCTGCTGGCCGCATCTGGGGTGGCAGTGGGGCTCAAAGGACACATCTGGGGTGGCAGTGGGGCTCAAAGGATGCCTACAGAGTGAACAGGGGTCCCTCCAGCAGGTGGGGTCCTTCGGCCTGGCTGATGGGGATTGGGCCAAAACTGGCAGTCCAGCATCCCCCGAGGCGTCTTGGAGTGCGAGAGGGCACTCTGCAAAGTTGCTGTCGCTTGGCAGCTCCTGCATTGAGCTTCTGCCCCCTGGTGGTCAGTACACATCATTACTACCAGCCAGTTGGCCGACTGGTCACTCAGGCTTTTATATATATATATATATATATATATATATATATATATATATATATATATTGTTTTTCACTAAGCTTTCTTTATACTATTGAAAATCTCTAGGCTGGAAACATTTCTTTCTGTCACTTTGCCTTTTTCTATTTGGCATATGTGATTATGATTTTTGTGTTCTGCTTTTATGTTTAGCATTATTTTGTTTAAGGATATCTGCTTGTCAACCTGGTCCATATACTTGTAATTTTTAATGGCTGTCTATATAATCTCATTCTTTCTTGAGATTCATAATTTTATTCCACTGAATCTTCTATTTTTTTTTTTGCAGGGTATGCGGAGATATTTGCTGCATTTCTAAAATATCTCTGAAAACAGGCTGCATTTTAGAATTGAAACCAGCATTTCCTTTTCTACTTTAAGAGTGCTACGCAGGAAGCCATTGGGCACACCAAGGTATTGAATTATCTTTCCATGTCTTCGGACCTATGAGAAATCTCAGCAAGAGGTCTCAGACACCAAACTGGGTATAGGGTGGAGGGAATTAAACTTGACAAGGTACTTGATATTTCTGAAGAGTCACTTAAGTTCTATAATTCGGTACTGTGATTAAAGCGACTTTCACCAATAGCCACTATAAGATATAGCGGTATGCAATAGCCAGTTTATCATTTGGGGTGTAACAATTAGCTAAAGCTATTTTTCTCCAAAGGGTCAGTTAGTTCTCTTGTTTTTCTCCACAACTTCAACTTTAGCAAGGAGCCATCATAAATTCTGTGACATAGCTGTCTCCTTATCTGTCCTGGGAGTTATAGGCTGCACATATAAAACAATTCATGTGCCTTTGCATAATAAATTGAGTTTTATAAATCATAAATCTTCACTTAATGTGCAGGTGGTGCTGGGTGCCAGGTTTAGAAAAGCTGAGGTAGTTGCCAAGTTCATGAATGTCATAATCATTCATGCTAAGGTAGTCCAGAATTCTGCTGTCTTCTGAGGCAGACCAATATCAAGGTTGGTAGTTAAACACAAAAATGTGAGTCTCAGTGATTGTTTTGCAAAATCGGATGCACTTGCCCTGGCCTGGTAGCTCCTTGATTAGAGTGTCACCTGGTTCACCAAGGAATGGTGGAAAACAAATTGAAGTGTTTTTTTTTCTCTCTCTCTCTCTTTCGCTTTCTCGCGTTCTTGCTCTCACTCTCTTGCTCTGTCTCTCTCTGTCTCTGTCTCTGTCTCTGTCTATCTCTATTTCTATATCTCTATCTCTCTCTCTCATCAAGCATCTCCTTGGCCACTTCTATTAGGGTAACTTCACACAAATAAGCAAGCTGATTAGTCAGAAAGTTCCAACTCATACTCTGGGGATGGAGAAGCCCTTGGGGCTCCATGGTACTTCACTTGCTTCCTTACAGCAGCCTCCTGTGACCTATGCCAAGCCTGTCTGTCCTCCATTCGTGTGGGTCCAGTGACAGGAAACAGGCAGAGAGAATTCAGTATCATCTGGGTAATTGGACTGAGGTCTTTAGGTTCCTTCAGTCCTATAGTTTTCCCTTGCTTTATTTTTAATCAGCATTAAAAAAAACACACACCCACTTTCTGCTGATCCCTTTAGCCTCAGCTTGGCCTCTTTCCTGCTTTATAGGTAGATACACTCCACCCATGAAGCCTTCTTTCAGTTCCTTGAATGTGTTGCTTCTGCCTTTCCATATGCCCTTTCTTCTCCCTGGGTCACTGTACTCCCCACTAGTCATTTATCTAACCCCATTTCAGGTCCCAGTTTTAATGTCACATGTTAGGCAAGCTTCTCTAAGCCCCAGACTAGATTAGATTTTTAATATCTAAAATAGTCTTGCATACTATCTTCCATAGTATGTTGTGCATTTGTATTAGTTGAACTACTTTTTAGTAAAATTTTATTTAGTGTTTATCTTTCCAGCATTTTGAAAGCTCCACATGTGCAGGGACTCTGTCTATTCTGTTCAAAATTTTATTCCTAGAACATAGTCCTATGCCTGACACCTAATTGCTGTTCAGTAAACATTCATTGATGGCCGACTCTGCTTCCCCTCTCAATCATGCATTTCCCCTATTGTTCATTCATGTATTGATTTTCTCCTGGGGCACTTTTGTGGGGTCTTCAGAGATCTGTACTACCCTAAACACACACACACACATACACACTTGACTTGTACAAGTAAACTTGCCTCTGTCAGCTGCTTTCTTCCTCAATAGTCCCTCATAATTCAACAGTCTGTTTTCAGTTTTTCCATGAGAAACAGGTCTTTGCTCACACAATCTCTGAGACTTTGGGCAGATTCTAGTATTGCAAAGCAGCTGCTAGACCATACAGTGATCCCTAAATTTCTTGGGCTGGAATCAGAAACTAGTTCAGTCTGCCACTCTAACTTCAGGAGATCCCTTAAGCTCTCTTAGGGGTCCCCTTGTAGCCCTTCTTGTTAGGCTTGTGGTAAAATGCAGGTACCCCCTCTTTTTGGAGGGGGTACTCACAACACATCAATACTTCTAGCCCAATAAAGCCTTTCTAAAACCTTTCTCTTAATATTCATCAGCTTCTTTTACCCCTCAATATGGGGTGAAGTTCTTAGAGGTTTTGTTTGTTTGTTTTAAAATGTATTTTATTGATTTAAAAAAATATATATTTTATTGATTTTTTACAGAGAGGAAGAGAGAGGGATAGAGTGTTAGAAACATCGATGAGAGAGAATCATTGATCAGTTGCCTCTTGCACACCCCCTACCGGGGACGTTCCCGCAACTAAGGTACATGCCCTTGACCGGAATTGAACCTGAGACCTTTCAGTCCGCAGGCCAATGCTCTATCCACTGAGCTAAACCGGTTTTGGCTTTATTGATTTTTTACAGAGAGGAGGGGAGAAGGGTAGTCAGAAACATCAATGAGAGAAAATATTGATCAGCTGCCTCCTGCCCCTTCCCCCAGGGATGTGCCCACAACCAAGGTACATGCCCCCGCTGGAATCAAACCTGGGATCTTTCAGTCTGCGGGCCAATGCTCTATCCGCTGAGCCAAACAAAATAGGGCAGATTTTAGAGTTTTATAATGGTTTTTCAACTGATTTCTATGAAAAAAGTTTTGTTGTTGTTGTTATTGTTAATCTTCACGTGATGATATTTTTCCATTGATTTTTAGGGAAAGTGGGAGAGAGAGGAAAGAGAGAGAGAAACATTGATGTGAGAGAAACACATCAATTGGTTGTCTTCTGCAGGAGCCCCGACCAAAGCCAGGCCGGGGAGAAGCCTGCAACCAAGATACATGCCCTTGACCGGAATTGAACCCGGGACCCTTTGGTTCAAAGGCTGACGCTCTATCCATTGAGCATAACTGACTAAGGCAGATTTCTATGAAAATTTACATATTTGTTGGCACCTCCCTTTGGTATGACATTGATGCTGCATAGTGGAGCCTGTCAGCTTCTAAATAGAGTAAGTATTATAGTTACTATAGTTAAACACGTATCTTAGAAAACAAGTAATTTATTTCTGAGTAAGGGTAGATGTCATTTTCTCCATCTCTCTTCTGTTAGGAAGTTTACTTGTCTTCATCTATAAAGTGGAACCCCATCCTTTCTTTGCCTCAGTAAGATAGGGAAATAAGAAATTGTAAACATTAAATGACACTGGATGGACAACAGGCCCTGTGGAATAGTTAAATAATCTGCAGAGGAATCATTTATCATAAAGAAGGGAAGTAGAGATGAAGGGCTTAATGGAAAGAAGAAAAGAAAATGCCCAGGTCATCAGTATTTTTCTAAACCCCTTCCTAACCCCATCTTTTTTTCTTTTTTTTTAAATATATTTTATTGATTTTGTACAGAGAGGAAGGGAGAGAGATAGAGAGTTAGAAACATCGATGAGAGAGAGTCATCAATCAGCTGCCTCTTGCACACCCCCTATTGGGGATGTGCCCGCAACCAAGGTACATGCCCTTGACCGGAATCGAACCTGGGACCCTTCAGTCCCCACGCCGACGCTCTATCCATTGAGCCAAACTGGTTTCGGCTTCCTAAGCCCTTCTACCCCTGCCCTGGTTTGGAACTGTTTTCTTGTTACTATTGTAGTATGTACAGGTCCCTATTATAGCACTAAAGCAATGCTTGTTCAGAGCAGAGCCAGCTCCTATTAAACCAGTAACCCTTGGTTCTGTGTTTTCTAGGTGTATTCATGTCTGTGTCTGTGGGTTTAAGGTAGGAGAGGGTAAATGTCATCATTTTTGACAAAATGGCAGAATATCTACTCTATCGTGATGAAAAGCATGTTGGTCTCCTGGTTCACGGAGCCTGCCTTGTAAGGAATTCAAAGGCTGCACTAGGAGCCGCTGTCAAGCCAGCAGATGGAGTAGCAGTCCTTCTGTGTGTGCCTCTGGGCCCACCTGGGCTGGTATGCTGGATGACGCTTGGCCCAGCCTGTGGCCAGAGGGGACAAGGAAATGAATACAAATCATTGCACCTTGTTGCCAGAACTGTTGTCCTGTCTGTAGGGAAGTTTGGTAAAATGTGATCCTGAGAAGGTCATTTTCATGTGCCTTTCTGTAATTGCTGCAGAAGCAATTAGAAGGAATGAGTGCTTGTATGTCTGAGATAACTGTGGAGCATAAGAGAAGGGAAGGTATAGAGATGACAGAATCAAGTTCTGAGTAGTGGGGGAATATGGCACCATCCATCCCCTCACCCCTGAAAAACCTTTTGGAAGACACAGGAATACAACCAGTGGCTCTTAATGGGAAAAGGCAATTTTAAGAGGAAAGTGGACAATGAAGTCTAATTACCATCTGCCTAACTTACTTCTGTCTAAATTCCAGGCACTGGGGTCTTTGTTACTAATATCTATGGCCCTGGCTGGTTTGGCTCAGTGGATACAGCGTCGGCCTGCGGACTTAAGGGTCCCAGGTTTGATTCTGGTCAAGAGCATGTACCTCGGTTTCGGGCACATCCCCAGTGGGGAGTGTGCAAGGTGCAGCTGATCGATGTTTCTCTCTCATTGATGTTTCTAACTATCCCTCTCCCTTTCTCTCTGTAAAAAGTCAATTAAAAAATATATATATGTATATGTATATGTATAAAAGAACTTTACTTTGCCAGTAGAAGAATTTAAGCTTCCCTGAGATTACTTCTTCTTTCTATTTTCTAAGAAGTAGCTGGATATATGGCAGTTCTTAATAAAAAATGGAGGTATGAATGGCGCTCCCACTGAGAACTCTCTTGTACCTCTCTCAGGCCTACAGGCATTCTGTGAAATGGAGAGTCCTTCCCACTTTATCCTATAAGAATGTAAAGAGGCTTCACAATAGAGGATGGGCCCTGGCTAGTGTTACTTAGTTGGTTGGGTATTGTCCTATGCACTGCAAGGTTGCTGGTTTGATTCTAGGTCAGAACACATGTCCCAGTTATGGGTTTGATCTCTAGTAGGGGATGTGCAAGA